CTATCAGCACTCGGTACTCTCATTTCTAGCACGCTACCTCCCGTGTGAAGAAGCGGAAATTGAGAAGTTGGAAGGTGATCTGTCTCCATAGTAGATGTGGATATCGTGTAAAACCTGAATTGTGAGTACTACATGACCTTTGACCTTTCATCATGACCCATTACTTAACCTGTTCTTTGCTCCCCGTGAATGGAGCCATTTTTCGCTGAAAAGTTCTGATGTTTCATCTTAAATAAAGCAAGATTCTCTTCTTCTTCTTCTTCTTCTTCATGCAGCCCGAAAAACACCTGATCTAGCTGCTGTGTTGGTCCAGCGTATCTATCACGCGCCCCGTTTAGGGGGCACGCCTCAACCATGTGTTAGTTTTCGACGATGTCCACCACGGGCTTCAGCAGGCTGAAGACAAACGCGGTGACTGGCACTGGATTATAGTGAAAGTAGACTTGCGCAGAATCTACCTCGCTTTCTCCCCACTTCCACACCTCTACCCGGTGTCAAGACAAAATCGTGAAGACCGGAGATGGGGAAGGACGCAGGTACTTGGTGCGGCCGCCAGTCCAATACAGGCTACGAAAACACCTTGCAAACTCCCATATACGCGAGTGTGCCGCAAAGGCCACATTAAAAAGGAGCCATTGTAGCCGGACTCTCAGTCAGCCACTTCACACAGCGAGACACATACAGGACTGACATCGCGGTCAAAGTTATCCCGTCAGTTGGCAACCCTTCAAGCGCACCGTGATAGCTTCAAGCGCGTCAGATTGTTTATAGCGAGGAAATAGATGCGCTAATAGTCGACCCCACTCTCTCCCCCCACGGCCAGCATCAAGACATGGCTTAACTGATCGATCACCTGAAGTGGGGTGGAAGTAGTAGCTGACAGGCTGGCAAATCTGTCTGCGCACTTCACGGCACGGCCTGGTCTCCTTGACACACACGCCAGGATTTACACAACCAGAGGATTAGAAAAAAACATCGGCTTCTGACTCCTAGGCCACTCATCAGCCACTTCACACATGACAGTGCGACCGTAGGTTTCGACGATGTCCACCACGAGTTTCAGTGAGTTTAAGCAATGCAGTGACTCCCGCGAGACTATAGTGAAAGGAGACTCGCGGGGAATCTACCCCACTCTCTCACCACTCCCACAACGGGAACCGGTGTGAAGACAATGTCAAGAAGGCCGGAGATGGGGGAGGGCACAAGTGGTTGGCGCGACCAACACTCAACAGGCGTAGCAACGCACGCCTCGCTAGGTAGGCTCCCGACTGGAAGAGTCATAAAGGTCACATTAAGAAGGGGCCATTGAGTCTGACTCTCAGCCCACAGACAGCCACTCCACTCCACACGACAAGACACAGTGAGCCGACTGCGGTGTCCAAGGTATCCTGTCAGTTGGCAACACTCAACTTCACACAAAACATCCACGGGGATGATGGTGTGTCCGCTACATGTGTCCGTTGGCAGTGCTAAAAAGGAAGCGAGCCTCACACATAGAAACCCTATTACAACCATTCCCGTGATACACACTAACCCACCCACCGTTCTTTCAGAGGGCAGACACACTTAGTCGTTACCGTCTTTTTAAACGAAGGTGAGCATAGGATATTTAAGCCTCTGGGTCTAAAATACCTAGCCTGGCCTGGCTTGATTTATTATTTCCTAGCTATAGGGAATATACCTCTTTGCGTTAACTACGACATATATAAAACAACATGCAAGAAGGTACCCTATTGTGGTTTTAGTTATTTAAATTCCTTTTATACGAGTTACCACTTTTCGCCCAGTTATCAGCAGCAACTGGGGAAAGATGAAACGATGACTTTGCAAAAAGTTTAGGGTGGTAAATTCACAGCAGAGCATTAGTGAAATGCATC